CGTAAAATAAAGTGTTGAGAAGGAAAAGAGATAGCAATGATAGGGTAGAATCGATGAAAATGTTGGAAACAGGTTTTTCTCGAGAATGTTGATAACAGAATGGGCAGCATCATGTTGTTGCTATCAGATGTTTGTGGTATCTATCTTTTGATAACTTTATTGTACTCTAAATGAGCGTTTACATAATGACTAATTAGTGTATGGAGGAGAAAAATTAAGTGCGTTTTTATTATCAACTATAAATGTTTTATCGAAGGGAAAATTTTCCACCCTTTCTTCTCGCTTTGATAAAACAAGAGTGCAGGCATACCTTACTCTTCCCTTTTTGCAGGCATACCTTACTCTTCCCTTTTTCTTTCATCCTCCCTTTTTTTTTTGTTTTTGTGAAAAGAAGCTTTTAAGGAGTACTTTTCAAGACAAATGCAAGGCTATGCTTCGATATCGAACGCTGAATTCATTTTACTACCTGACGGCTCAAACGATGACTTCAGCGGCAATGATTTTGAAAGGTTTGTTGTCACTCTAATTAGACAAAAAGTATTTCTATGTACAATAGTTATGTGACTGTATTCAAATGAAATAATGCAACTTTTAGAAATTTCAAAGCGTAATTTACATGCATTAAGTGAGTTTCACGTTGACTACTGATATTAGCAAGCTATTCATCTTACTTAAAACTTTATCTCTATAGGCTTATTTTAGTTATACGTGGCACTTTTCACCTTTATACAATAAATTCACGTCTAGAAACAAATGAATGTTGGGATTGGACGAGAAAACTCTCTTTTCCGTCAAACTTAGGACTTATTAAGATGATGTTAGCTCATCACGATAATCCAAATTTCGAAATGAAAATTTCTGGATGGATTTGCAGGACTAGTTCGACAAATTCGTTTTGCTGCGCAGCACCCCGTAATTCCTTAAACGGACAGCAATTTTATTCGTTAGCTAATGTTCCAAACAATTATCATGCCATGGAAAACGTCAAACAAAAGCGATCCTCCAAGCTATTCGATCGACCTGAACTTTTCGTACACGCATTAGTAAGTTTATTTGGTATAGTGAAGATTTAAAATAATTTCGAAAGTTTTTTCCTCAATTCACTTTCTCGGAAAACTTGCTGCCAATTTCAAGAATTGAGATATGTGAAGAAATGTTCTAAATACTTGGGATTTTTGAGTGATCAGAACAAAATATAAAAGGTAATCCACAAGTTAGTAGCAGATCAAGTAAAAGCTTTATAAGTCATCCTAGGTGACAAGATCAGTCAAGATTAGCTTTCTAAGTTATCTTCGCATCTTCATGATTGATTTTAAATTATCGAGCTATAAAAGTTCAAACCACCACTTTTCATCCTAATTCGGGATGCCGCACTCTCAACTGAATTTGGCTGAAGAATTGAATTATTATTTATGTAAAAGATCGACTAGCCGATGTCGAATTTATTACTATACTTCTAAAGTAATGACTCAATAACAGTTACACCACTTCTCAATGAAAAACAAATGTTGATGACGAAGTTGTCAAATAAATATTTTTTCAGACGGAAAAATTGAAAGGACCATGGATCGAACAAGTCTTTCTCAAGCGGGAATGCATCAAATATATTCCAACTTTTGGGACGAACAAGTATGTAACTGTTTGAAACATTTCACTACTGTACCAATTTTTACAGTATGAAAATTGTAACACAGTTTATTGTTACAAAGGATAGCAATTTAAAAGAATGTAAGAGGCACAATGTCAATCGATTAAGAATGAGGAAAGTTTCTAAGACTTCCATTAATTCGGATTGCTCAGTTGAAGTTTTAAGATAATTTCTAGGACTAATTAGTAATAGGGATTGGTGATTTGTTATTTAACTCATTTATTAACTACTCAAAATTTCCTCCCATTAACACATGTCATTTATTAAAATAATGACCGATAGACAAGCATGAATTTGAAAAACTGGGCTCCTGAAACATAATTAATACACAAGGTGAAAATATATTGACATTTTGGTAGACCAGAAGACACAGTAATTAGTAGAATCATCATATTCGATTAATGCAAATTAACGAAGGTGTACAAAAATTACTGCTATTGAAATAAAGGGATCAATGAAATACCAAACTGTTCGTCACAACAAAATTTAAAGGATGAAAAACAGTAAGCGACAATTGCTTACTTCTCTTACGATATAACATTATCAACCTAATCATTTTAGGCTTGTGACACCTCTTATTAGCACTCTAAAATTGCCAATTCATTTCATTTTTTAGTGATCAAACAAATTATTTAGAAATAAAAAATGATATTTCAGATGCGGTTGTGGATTGTCTCTAAATGCGCATAGTCTGGCAGTAATATCACAATTTAGAGCAACAATGATAGACGATGAAGTAGCGGTACGATCGTCAAATCAATCAGTACGTTGGAGTATTGCCGAGCATACAAAAACCTCTCATACGGATGCCTTTGGAACTTTGGAATTTTCGGTATTCTTTTGGATAGATAAAAGCACTTTAAAATCCTTTCAGACTTGAATATAGACATCACTTTTTCCTAACTGTTGGTCTGATCAGGTCTTTTTCTATATTGTTATGATTTCATTATCCTTATTTAGCATGTTATCTTCTCCAAATTTCTCAAATATATTTAGGGTGGTGCTCATGCTCATAAAGCACATTATGTTCGTTTGGGCTACGATTCAGACCCATCTGATATAATGTATCTGATGGAGAAAATTTGGGGACTGGAGCCGCCTCGTCTTGTTATTACAGTTCATGGTGGCATCACTAATTTCGAGTATTCTTTCATTCTGATTTTTTTTTCCGAATTTACTTGAATAAAATTCTTAATCTCCTAATCTTTATTGCGAAGGACGTAAAAGTTATTAATTTCAAAGGGTGCAAGAGAAACTTGGTCAGGTATTTCGCAAAGGTATGCTAAAAGCAGCACAAACAACAGGAGCATGGATTATAACTGCCGGAATAGATGCCGGAGTGGTACGGCATGTCGCTACTGCTCTCGATGAAGCTGGCATTTCAGCGAGGTATTTTTCTTTATCGCCTTAAATTTGTATAATTTTCTGTTGTCTGAAGAGAGGCAAAATTAAATTAAGACGAATTCTGTAATTAATCAAATGATACCGTTTAATTACCTCTCTCAATTTATTTCTTTATGACCTTCTGTCAATTCTGTTTTAGAGTTGTTATCAAAATTTCAGAATGCGATCAAAAGTAGTTACAATAGGGATTGCTCCGTGGGGTTTATTGAAACGACATGAAAAATTAATTGGCAAAGATATCGTTGTATCCTACGATCCGCACTCTTTTGCTTCCAAAAGCAAATATGCGACATTGAACGATCGTCATTCATATTTCCTACTTGTAGATAATGGTACAAACGGAAGGTAGTGTTTATGAACTATTAGGTGTTTATTGTTTATGTCGATTTACTGCATTTTCTGCATCAACGCAAATGAAATATAACAAATTCACTCATTAACAAATACTGAGCACAGATATGGCGCTGATATCATCCTACGGAAACGCTTTGAAGAATTCATAGCTCGGAAACAAACGATTGGTTTGGGGACACGACATGTACCTGTCGTTTGCGCAGTGCTGGAAGGTGGTACTTGCACTATCCGGGCAATACTTCAATATTTAGCCAAGTATGCTGTTTCTAAAAAGCGTATTTATATAATGTTTCGATGGCTGTTGCATGATTCGTTTAACTTTCAAGATTTCAGTCAGCCCCCCGTTCCGGTAATCGTTTGTGACGGTAGCGGAAGAGCTTCAGACCTCATTGCATTTGCACATCGACATGTTCAGGAGAATGGGTTAGTTTTCGATAACTTGTTATTTGGCTTAGTATTAGTGACTCATGGCAAAATATACTTTTCATTTCTCAGCGAGTAACATTTTTCGGACTTTTATTATGACCCAATGGTAAGTTCAATTGAATCAATACGTATCATTCATAATCTTTTGAAAATCTGGCACATGTTTATTCATTCTCTTATGACAAAATAAAACTAAACGATTGGTAGAAGAAAACAATAAGTTGTGGTCAGTGAGAATGATTTTGCAGGAAATGAATTCTAAAGGCTATTTGGCCTTGCGCTAAACCTATCTTTATTTATTTTGATCTTGCTGAGTATTCTCAAGATAATTTAAAAAAAAAGAAAAACCAAAATTGAAGTACTGTTCTTTCGACGAAATCTTTAGCAATACAGGACAAATAAATTTTCAGTAATTTGCCGCGAGAAATTCGTGCTCAATTGCTCACTCTTATTGCTTCGGTATTTCGTTACAGTACAACACCAGCGGAACAAATTCTTGAAGAAATATTGTGTTGCGCCAAACATCGTGATTTGGTACGTTATTTGTATCGGAAATGATTCATTTTTTGATGGCTCATTTTATTTACTTCCAGAATTTTTTTTCTGTCTTTATAGTTGACAGTCTTTCGTTTGAGTGGAAACAAGAAGCAAGATGTTGATCATGCTATTCTAAGTGCCATATTGAAAGGACAAAATCTGTCAGCAGCTGATCAGGTACACTGGCTACTGCAATTAACCTATATTATAACTGGAATGCATAGAACTCAGCTGTTGCAACTGACTTTTAACATTCAGGCATGAACTGAAATGGATGATTATTTCAAAAATTTTTTCAAGTGAAAAATGTTAAAACAACTTAATTAAAATATCTTTTAAAACAGCTAATTTTCAGCTTGCATTGACCCTTGTGTGGAATCGGGTGGATATCGCACGCTCAGATATTTTCGTGGCCAACCAAAACTGGAACCCGCATTTATTATATAATGCAATGATGGAAGCGTTGGCATTGGATCGAGTTGATTTCGTTAAACTTCTGTTAGAAAATGGAGTTTCAATGAAGAAATTTCTGACAATCAATCGACTGGAACAGCTTTACAATATGGTTATTAGCTTCTGCTTGTTCTATTCTTTCTCTTTCATACCAATTTGAACAGTTTGCAAATATAACTTCAAATAATGGTTTAAATTTATTTGTTTAGCTGATTGTTATTTTTAATACAAGTTAACTAATATTTAACTTTAAAAGTAATATTAAAGAAGATTTTTGTCATATTAAGGGTCATTGATTTATGCTCAGGAACAAGATTCAATTCTGCCTCTAATCAACGACAGCGTGTCAATTATTGATGGTCGAATTACACTACCAAAAATTGGAGTAATTATCGAACGATTAATGGGAAATGCTTACAAATGTTCGTATACATCAAGGAAATTCAAAAATAAATACGAAAAATGCAGAAAGAAGGCACTGGTAAGTGGTAGTTTTGTCGAAAACAAAGTCATATATGAGAACTAATATTTTTTTTCGACCGAAAACCGAACTTACATTTTTTAAGATCTCCAGAATTCCAAGTTTCCGGAGCCTTTGTGCAACATATTCAAAAACAAGGAAAATGGCTGAAGTAATGTTTTATTTTTTTCATTTTTGTTTCACATGAATATCTCATCAATTTTCGTTTAATGAGACTTAGACTTCCATTCTCACCTTGGAACCTTAAAATAGCGAAGAGATTGCAGAATCGAGAATCAGTGCAACTTCCATGGAGACATAACTTGACAGTGTATCTTAGTCTGCAAATGGAGACGAATGGTTTTCTGAGTCTGGGAAACTATCTTAGGGGCATAGATGCTTATTTGACCATTATCTGAATTGATGCTTGCTCAAAAGGCTTTTATAATTGTAACTGTTCTAATACGGGGAAATTTTCTAAAATATACTTTAAATTACCACTGCTTGTTCAGGAAGCCATGAGCAATACGAGGAAACGGATGCGCAGGGAAAGCAAAGAAGGTCTCAGTTCTTATTGTTTATTATAGAAACGGAATTGTTGAAAAAATAGCTCATTTCATCAAGATAGATCAAAATAAGCTTTAACTGTTCAAAAGAGTACTACTTAAAATGTGCTAATCTTTTTCGGGAAATAAAGGGTTAATCATCCTCTTATTGGCAGGTGACGACTTTCAATTCCCGTTCAACGATTTAATGTTATGGGCAGTCCTATCACGGCGACAGGAAATGGCACGTTGCATGTGGTCCTATGGCGAGGAGGCAATGGCCAAAGCATTAGCTGCGATAAGGCTTTACAAAAGTATGAGTAAAGAGGCTGCGGATGAGTACATCGAAGTTGAAGTATCCAACGAACTTCGGGAATTTGCAGAGTATGTCCTTCCGTTTCCAACTTTTTTAGAACTAAATTAAGAATTATCTGTTCAGGAAAATATCTCGTCAAAGCATCATGAGTTATGCTGCCTGGACAGTTTTAATTCTGTCGAACTTTTCTTGGAATATTTAATTTGATAATTTGACAGTCACAGTATTCGAGCTGAGTTAATATTAGCTTGCAGGTGAATTGCACACTTTCATTGAAAAAACCTGTAGTACAAATCTTGCGGTTTCTAATTCTTATTTTCCAGGGAGTTCAAAAGGGAAAGTTTAAGTTTGCTCAATCATTGCTACCTGCAAAATGATGCGGGAACTCTTCGATTGCTAACAGCCGAATTACCTAATTGGGGACATCATACTTGTCTCTCCTTAGCTGTTATTGCGAATCATCGAAGGTTTTTGGCTCATCCGTGGTGATTATTTGTTTGTCTTGAAATGACTGATTAACCAAACACTGCTGCTTTTGATTTCTGCAATTAAATGTTTCTTCCAACTTTCATCCCCATTATTGGCAGACACTTTCTCAGATACAAGCAATTAGGAAAATGAACTAGGAAGATCATTGGTAAATATGTCATACTATTTACTGTTCTACAAATAAGACATATCACTAATGTTGCAAAAATTTGATATGCTGTTATTGTCTGGGCCATATTTTACAATATCTTAAAAAAATTCAATTCTTGAAGTTGAGATTCTTTCAAAGCTTGTTCGTTCAACAAAAAATTTATTTTAGCTGTCAAATTTTACTGGCAGACTTATGGCACGGTGGTCTCGGCATCAAAAGGTACTTTTTTAGAAATTATCAGCTATTTCTTCCAGCTATTCAAACTTAAAAGTAATTTTAGCACTGGCTTTTCCTCCCAGCATTTTGCTGCTGGATGTGAAAGCACGAATTTCCAATCATCGTATGAATTCTTTCACACGTCATTCATTTGTGATCGAAGGGAATGAGTTCAATAATGTAAGATTTTCTCATTCGACTATTAGGTCTCTTACGTTTGTGCTTCGATGGTCAACTTTTTTTAGTGACATCTGATTATCAATTATTTTTAGTGACATCTGATTATCAAGACTTCTGATAGATCATTTGTTAACTAATCATTTTACAGGAAAAAGAAAATGACGATCGTAGTCATAACAGTGCTTCCTCATCGTTTCATGCATCAGAAGTATGGCGTATTCCCCAATTTACTTATGCTGCATGTTTTTTTTTTCAAAAAAATTTAACTTGCAATTGTTTTAGCACTTGAAAATAAGACGGAAAACCAAATACAAGACAACGTCACTCTCTCAACGTATGACAGATTTTTCGAGACGGCCAATTTGATCGAGGAAACTTTACGGGTCAAATCAGGAGTTGGAGACTCGCGAAAATCAGTCGGCACAAGTTTGCAAGAGGTGGAAGAGGTACCTTTTCACTTAGTTTTAGAAAATTGCAAAGTCACGGGTGTTTCTAATTTATGTTTCCAGACCAAAAGATGTTGCATTACTGCTAATGGTTTATCTATGAACAATATGTTATCTATAAGCAAGATTTGTTTTTTTTTAGAAGTTTTTAAGAGAGCTTTGAAATTAAGAAAGAAAATTATGTTTATAGATAACCAAGAAGACAAGGAAAGAAAATTACCCTGTTAATTGATTGGTTCAAATACTAACTTCAGCTTTGACAACTTACTATATAGTGACCTTGACATCAAACTAGACATTCTTTTTTTAGTGTTCTTTGTTAATGTAGGGAATATTTCTATGCATCTATGAAAGTCGACAATTTTTCTTATAGATGGCACGAAAAACATCGTGGACGACTAAATTTAATATCTTCTACTCTGCGCCGATCACTACTTTCTGGATATGGCTTGCAAGTTATTTCGTATTTCTGATCGTTTACACGTACGTAATACTGATTGAATTTCCAGTAAAACCAACTCAAGTGGAATGGTTTCTTCTTGCATATGTTGTCGGTTTTGTTATGGAGCATTTTCGAAAAGTAAGTACTCATATACATATTTTCTGCTTGGTTTGTTACTTAAATTTGTTTTTGATTTGTACCATTGAGAAAATTCTGATAATTCTTAACAAAAGGTGCAGCTTATAGCCAATATTATTGTGTACGACTCCTTTCTTTCTTAACTTTTTAGTATTGTCAGAAATGCTTTTTCTTCCTTTTAACTTTCTTTTTCTTAACTTTTTAGTATTGTCAGAAATGCTTTTTCTTCCTTTTAACTTTCTTTTTTATTTTAGTTGTTGGTACAGGAAGCAAGTACTCTTTTTGAGAAAATACGTGTCTATTTTGATCGCTGTTGGAACTATTTGACTTGCTTGGCCATTATAACATTCTTCATTGGTTTCGCATTTCGGTATAACCAACTGACACGTCATTCATACGGACGAGTTATTTTATCATGTAATATTGTGTTTTGGTACATCAAACTTCTGGATTTTATGGGTGTTCACCCAAGACTAGGACCATACATACAAATGACAGGAAAGATGGTAGGCTTTGCTTGACGATAATTCTAAAACAGCTGAGAAAACGCGTCTTAACAACTAATAGATGGTTAATAAATAAATATGTTATTGTTTTCATAAAGATAGCATTTGTGCAAGCCGCAAAGAGATTCAAGCAGAATTTATTTATGTCTCTTTTGAGTATCGTCAATGTAATTTTATGACTAACTTGCGCAGCAGATCTACTCATTTTTCCATTCCTCAATAATTTATATGATTCGTTGCAGTTTACGCACTTTTCCAGCTCATTTTCGAAATTCGAATATACCACATTTTTGTACTTTTGTTTTCAATATGAGTTGTTTGTTTTAGATTGTAAATATGATGTATATTCTGGCTCTGTTATTGGTGACACTAATGTCTTTCGGAATATCACGGCAAGCAATTACTTATCCTCATGAAAAATGGCAATGGCTTTTGATAAGGAATATTTTTTATAAACCGTATTTCATGCTATACGGTGAAGTATATGCAGGAGAAATTGACACCTGTGGAGACGAAGGTAAGTTTTTTGCATAGCATTGCCATTGCCAGTAGATAGAAGTTACCGGCTTCTATCTACTGAGGTAGGAGGGGCTTTGCAAACTCCTTTATTTTCAGTGCTAAAATACAGCTGCACTAATTGATTTCACAGTTTCTCAAAACTGCATATTTGTTGAAGAATTAGTGCACCCTCAAAAAGAAGACAAAAAGATCTCGGGGGTAACAGATGATATGTATGATAACATTTCTATCTAAATATATTTGTTTAAATTGTCAGTTTTTCTCGAGTTTTCTTGGAGGCATTTTATCAGTTTTTTTCAGTTTTTTTTTTTTTTTTTTTTCAGGCATTAATTGCGTTCCTGGTGGTTGGATACCGCCAATTCTGATGACTATCTTTCTTTTAGTAGCAAACATTCTTCTGATCAATATGTTAATTGCTATTTTCAAGTATGTATTTATAGCTATAGGAATTTCTTTTAATGTACTTAGCTCAAAGATTCAAGAAAAGGAATCCAAAACAGTTATATTAAAATTTAACCTCAGTTTAAAGTCCTTTTTTAATAAATTTGCTAATTGTGAATTAATTCGTTGCTTCAGTAATATTTTCAATGAAACAAATGCAATTGCACAGCAAGTCTGGCTCTTCCAGCGTTACGAACAAGTTATGGAATACGAAAATACACCGTTTTTTCCTCCTCCTTTTACACCAATATCACACCTAATGATTCTGCTTAAATATTTCTGGAAGGTTAGAGAAATATTGGTCTGAAAATTCTCATATAAACCATAGAATATTCATGAGAACTTTGCTGTTGATCTTCATGATTTCACTGCATCTGGAAAAAGAAAAAAGCCACCTTTCAAAATCAAAATTGATAACATTTAAATATTTGTTTCCCTTACTTTTTTTGTAATATTTCCCCTTGATTTCAACAAATTGTATTTCTAGTTACATCAAAGAAGTGGACGGAGAAGGCAGTGGACTAGCAAACGTAGAGGGTTCTTCGATTTTTCAATGAGTAAGTCAGAGACATTTTTTCAATTTTCAAAATTCCAAACCTCTTTTAATATGACCCTTTTTTTAGAGCTAAGTTTAAGCGATGACGAATTACGTTTGTTGCATGATTTTGAGGAAGATTGTATGGATGATTTGTCGAGGAAGAAGAGTCTCTCGCAGCCATTGCAGGTCGACTGTCATTTAAAAACAGCTGTAGAAAGGTAAATAATTATTTCTTCCTGAACAATTAAATGAGGTTAAAAAAGAAAAGTTTGGCTTTATTTTTTTTTTTAAAGTTTTGGCTTTATTTATTTATTAAATGAGGTTAAAGCAAAAATGAATTAAACAGATTTGTTTGATGCCTCCATCATGAGCTTCTTACCATTTGTCACATAGTCTCTGTATTAATATCTTGCTAGCACGACAATAATGAATTAAAGCTTCTGTGGACGAATCACGCATCAGGGAAACGCAAAAATTCTTAAATTTCGAAAAAAATGATAATAAAGACTTCGTGAAAATGATACATTTCAGAACTGATAACTTGCAAGTCCAGCTAAATGACATGGTAAATGAAGATTGTAATATGAAATCATTTCTGCGAGAAATAGAATCGAAACTTTGTGTTATTGAGACGAATCACCAAGCGATGCTCAAATTATTACGAAGCTCAATTGACAAGCAAAGAAATTCCAAGAATTTAGAAAGTAGCACAGAAATAGTCAGAAAGAAGGATCTAAGTGTTATGGGGAAGAAACCTTCAACAGGAAAAAGAGAATCAATCGGGAAGTATGCAAACATTAGTAATAGTGATAATGAAATCAGAAAACTGCACTGTACGGATAAGCTTCTGGAAACACGTAACATCTGCCAAATTACGAAGAGGTAAGCTAAAATTGTACATTTCAGGACTAATTAAAAAATGTTAAGTTACGGGAAGTATGCAGTTTTCAAATTTTCTAAAGTTTTTTTGGAAATGGTATCTTTAACGGTCACAAAAGTGCAGAAAGCACACATCAGAGACCGCCAAGTTGCTCCTGTCACTTTAGACATGTAAAGATTATGCACTATTCCGTGAAATTCAGAACACGTCGCATCCTGTCCGATCAAAGTCTAGTATTGCGATCTGCGTGGAAATTTGTCCAAGTTAGGGATCCTTAAATTCTAACAGTTAGTTTCAGTGAAGTTGAGAGCATGTAATGAGAAAAAGACTGTTTATGATCATACGAATACTTTTGCTTTCTAGGGAGTTTTTTTTTTTTGGGAAATAAATATGTCCATTGAAATGTTGGTAATGAGAAGCGAGCATAAATTAGAAGTTTATTTTTTAGTTTCAGAAGATCATTTATTTTTCGGAATGAAATTTATACATCGATAACAGATACAATTGAGATGCCTAAAGTACTGTACGCTCCAGACGATTCAATTCAACCACCCGCTTCGTCTAGCGTCCTTGCAACACAACTTGATGGTACAGCATTTAGGAATTTGGAGGAGGTATAGTATGTTCTTTTCAAATAACAATTTTAAGGCGATGAAATGAATTTCTTGAGTTTTCAAAACAAGAATTGAGTTCCTTTATCATAAGTTAACAATAGCTACGCTCAGACTAAATCAACTGCTGGTAGTCTAGTAATTTTTTGGGGAGAATTGCCTTGTCTCTCAATATATTCCAGCTTCCAGCAGTAGCATAGCATCAGCTGATCATAAATTTTCCGGGAGATGCTGAAAATGCAAGAAAACCCGTTCCATTCAACATCACTCAGATAGTATGACTTCCACTGATCGACACACTTTTCTTTTCATATCCCGTTTGCCTTAATTGCCAGCTTTGCCTAGCACTTCACACAAACATTTATTTAGTTCGTCTTTTGTTGATTTTTATGAAAATAATTATCTCCTGAGAAGATTTGAATTTGAAACTAATTTTTGTTAAATCACTCACTTTAGGTTTCTAACTGCACAGCAGAAAGAGGGATACGGGAAAGAAGTATACAGCCATCAGCGTGGTGTATTACGGATCTTGAGGATATGTGTCGCACACCTAGTCCAGAAGAATTATCTGAATCAGCAAACAGCGACACGAATCGAACTGCCATACATACACCTCCATATCTCGAACTCGATGACTGATTGAATATAGTGAATAGGAGAACTACTGTTGTAAACTGAGTCATAGTACATCGATGCTTCATAATACAGTACTGTCGAGCATCTTATGCTACTCCCATAAGCATGAAAACATTTCTTTGCATATTAATAAGTACCGAAGCATTTTGCATCGTCCGTCACTCCCTTCCAATACCTGATCAATATCTTCCATCCCCCTAAAAAAGTCGACATTTGGCCTCTAATCAGTGCCCTCCTTTGCATGTACCATAATCTTCATTTTGTGCATTTGAACAGTCTGGTTGAAAACAACACAGAATATAAAATTTGAAATTACCGCAATCATTCCAGAAGTTGAGAAATGACGGGGATGTGCCGAAGCTGAAGGCGGTAGTATTTAACATTTTCGTAACGTCTGACTTTAAGCCTTTTTCGATTCAATGGATTTCGAAATCTCCAAATTTTAGGCTTACCAGTGAGCTGTGTTTGTCCCGTTCAGGTTACGTGAGTCTTCAGCAGGATGACCGCAATCCGAATTACTAGTTTTCTGCCGATTTATTGAGCATTTTCTATGTTATTCTACTGTTTTTACTATCCTGAAATTATTAGATGATATGTACTGGAAGTAAAAGTTGAATACTGAATCACTTACTTACGGAGACGGAGAGGTGAATGCGGAGACAGAATTATTTACTCGGAAAAAGACACATTTCAGTAGTGGATTAAAATTGGACTACGGTAATCAAGCTCGCTCGCGTCACTTTCTGGTTTCATTTGTTAAAATCTTTAAGCAGTTTCAATTATCTACAGATTTCCAAGGAAAGCGATTTGGCCCACAAATTTTATTGCAGATTGCAACAACTCAGTCAACCTAAAATAGCTTTTAAATGTTGTAATTCGGTTAAATTCTTTTAGTGATTCAAATAAAGTGGGCGAAAGAATATCAAATATCCATACTATCAAATTTAAAAAGCACCTTTAAAGACGAAGTTTTATTAGAATCCAGCGGAGATCAGAGACAGCATATCTCTTGGATGTGAGATAGTGTCTGCGATTTGCAGGGTGATCTTATACAATTGCTTTGGGATAAGGAAGTGATAAGAAACAGTTATCTGTGTACTGCACACGGGTAACGGACAGAATAGTACCAAAACGGAGCCATGCAGAGTGTTTGGTCAGGAAGAGAGCCTGGTGAACAATAGTACCGTTGACGTTGACGACAATCAGGACGAACGGAACACATCGGTTTGTATCACTTTTAAGTTACTATTCCTCTCGTCTCGGGATAATGTAGCATAAGAGAAGAGTGACATCATGTATGTCCGTTCTTCTGGAGATCTACTCTTATTCATACTCTTATTCTTACCCAAGGGTAGTAGTGGAGAGCACAGATCCTTCATGGAGTAATTCATCTCAAATCCGTCCACTCTAAATAGTGCCATTCTTTCGCTCCTTCCATAGATACCGTTCCATTTTCAGTTGAAGATCGATTAGGACATTATCTGTCGGGTTGACTTAATTATCTCTTTAAGAAGTATTTTGTAAAACAAGAGATAGAAATTCAACAACTTAAAATTTGCATTGGAGCCGTGTGATATGCGATTTTTGGGAGAAAGATGGGAGAAAAGTAAATCAGTAGGAAGATATCCTACTTTTAGTTCGAATCGAACCGGATATTTTTTGAAAGGAAGTTTAATTTTAGAAAGGAAAGACTAAATAGTTTAGAAAGTATACGAGATTGCTGGAACAAATAAAATAAATTCCAGGTTGTGTTTGGCGGACAGTCATTTCATCATATCAAAACTTCGAAAAATTGTGTAACGGGTGAGATTTCGTATAATATAGGAGAGAATACTGTTAAAGGTGTGCAAGGGTATCGTTACAGCAGTGTACAATATATTGGTAAGCCTTTCCTGTTTCCTATTACTAAACCTTTTGTGTAAATTTGCTTCTAAAAATAATTTCGTTCCAGTTATTACGGATAACGAAACGAAGGATAGATTGACGCATCCCGAAGCACAATCCGGAAGGTATCTACTCTGATAACTTTCTTTTAGCTAATTTCAATTTCCTGATTAACTGCAAGCTTTCTTTTCATGTAAATTTCACTGGTTATATCAGATTAGTGTTGTCGCTTTGCAGAAATAATAAACGCATGGATACTACGGTGCACACCCCATTTTGTATACCCCTCAGGCAACAATCGAGTCATGCAGTAAAACCAGGGGTATTCATTTATCTCTCTTGATCATGTATGACCCAAAATTCATTGCTAGGTGAATCAGAAACGTTGATACAATGGTCATGCTTTACAAAAGATATCAGGCGAAGTGAGATATTGAGTTTTTTTTTTTTCTAATAATAGCGTCAGTTAATAAACTAAAAAGTTTTTTGATTTTGTGATTTATAGGATGAAGGAGAAATTCCACCCAGGCCGCTGTCGTTATCATCACAACCTCATTCTATTCCGGAAGATAGTTCGAATGAAGGTTGTAATTGTAATACTACTCCGATGGATTTAACAAAAGGGGACACATTTGCTACATTTGTACCTCGCAAGTTTTATCTTCTCTGTGAATTTATTAATTTCATGAGTAGATAGGTGTACTTGCTGATACCTTTGATGGAAAATACGGTAGGTCAGCAGTTTGCATAAATGTGTTATTCGGTTTAAAGGAGGTATCTTAAATATATCAGACATAATTTCTATGGATATATAGGTCTAAAAAGAAGTGAGGCTTTGAAGAAAAATCTTTGGGTTCTTTAGAATCCCCCAACTTTTTGTCTATTTCAAAATTTGGCGTTATCTTGAATCATTATTGCTGTTTAGGTGCACCACGGAGAAGCGAATCGCTAAATGATAATCACATAAATTTAGCGAAGGTTATTCCAGTATCTGCATCACAGTCGGTGATGATTTCATGTGACAATCCGAAATCATTTTTGCTCAAGAGTGTTACTCCATATGCACAGCAGACGACAACGGTACCGAAAACGCCGTCCAAATTTATTCAGCCACCAGTACTGTCTTCACCACAGTTAATCAGTGGTTCGCTGGCTGCCAATCGAACTTTACCTCTCTCACTTTACAGCTTTTCGGTTCCAACAACGAATGTGACCACTGGTATACTACCACGCGGTCCATACTATGATCGTGCAGCAGATGATAACCTTTGCAGAAATCGAGATCCTCTGTTAGTGAAAGAAATGCTCCACGAAGGTCATTGCTGTGAGAGTGCTCCACGCAGGTTAAGACTTAAAACAATGGATGGATCGTTTTCTGGATTACGTTCTAATTACGGACGACCTGGGTGGCACGATAGTCCGAGACAATCAACACTATCCTACTCTGGTCCTGGAGCATCACGATTTTATACAAGACCAGCACCTACACTGCCACTCCTTCCACTTGGTCAGGCGTACGGTCGAGGCACTCCCCGACGTCTTATGTTAAATAATTTTCGTGAGTCACAGTGGTGGGTTTTTATGGAAATTTGCAGATTGGTTTTTCTGTTGGGTCATTTATCTCTCTGTCTTATTTTTTCGCAAAGCCTTTTACCTCAATCACTACTCAAATCAGGTCCTTAAGTTATCTTTATGCCTTGCTTTGGAGGGTGGAAGGAAAAAAAGAAAAATCTTCTTTGCATATTATTGTACTTGTGAATAATCTAGTGAATTTTATTCTTGACATTACCAATTATTGTTATTCTCTAATACTAATTAAGTTGCGAGACGGAATCACTTGGGGAACCAAATGGATTCAGAAGCAATAAAGAAGGTTAGCCAGGATTTATTTGAACCATCCAATTTTTTAAAATGCTGATCCGATCTTCTATAGCTTATCTGCAGCTACGATTACCAACTTTTACTTTTACGTCGGATTAATTTCCGAGATATGCCAGAGTAACAAAATTACATGTTATCCGCGAAACTTTAAGTAAGAGTAAAATCCAAGCTTACACTACTAATTATTTGCAATGTCGTTGTTCTCGACTGCCTCTTGTTTTTTAAGAGTCTGTAACATTTATGTTGTATAGGAGTTTATAATTCCTGCTATGTGGGAAATATGTCATCAGTTGCAATCTCATCATTCATGCAATCAACGTATAGTGCTGCAAGCATTACGTACACCGCAGCAGGCACTGCACCACCTCCGAAAACGTATATTTTTGAATTTTTATATCTAAAAAAAATCTATTTGCTTTATCTGTTTTCATAAATAATGAAAAGGCAAGCTTTCTATAAAAAGCCTTCTATTAGATTAACTTCTATGCTTTCTATATTCATTCTTTCACAAATCTGGCTGTGACCTTTCTGTTATTCTTCATTTCTTCCTTTATATTTTATATATATATATATTGTATATATATATATATATATATATATATATATATATATATATATATATATATATATATATATATATATATATATATATACTATATATA